GCCCAGAGCGGGGGAGAGCATCGCGATGGGCAATATTTGAGAGGGGCGGCTCGGGAAGGAGACGGGGGTGAGCGGGCGGCGTTGGTTTCCAGGCAGCAGCCCTGCAGACCACGAGCGCGCGAGCTGCCGCCGCGAAGACGATCCATCGCGCGTTTGGCGAGGGCCAGGAAAAGGCGCGGGGGCGGAGGGCCGGGCCTGGCCTGGGCGCAGCAACAAAAATGAATAATCCAAAGTGGGCACGGCCGCGAGGCTAATGTCACAGTGGAAGTGGCTGATCTTGGACGGGTCAGCTTGGCGGGCGCGAGTTCCACGGCAGGGCTCGGTTCGCAGCGGAAGTCGCGATTCGCATTTGAGGTCGCGCATGTCAGCAGCGAGCGGCCCGAGGGTTCGCGAGAGCGGCGTGGACAGGCCACTCGGGGGTGCGAACGCGTTGTTTTGCGGAAGCGTCGATCAGCTGGAGCCCTCGCGCGGACTTGCAATCGGCGCGCTTCCCACGTCTTGTTTGAAGAAGGCGAGGAAGTGCGCGCTGGGGGCCGTGGGAGATCACAAACGACGCATTTTGTCGCGAGCGGGGTGTGCGGGGCAGGTCGGGGGGTGGCGGAATTTGACGACGCGTGGGCGACCAATGCGATTGGTTCGCAGGGGTGCCAGATGAATTTCGGCGAGGTGCGCGCGCGCCAGGGGCGCGGGCGGGCTGCGCGGCGCAGCGCGGCGACGTTCGTTGCCGAGAGAACGCGAGGGCAATTGCCAAACATGGCGAGCTTGCGGGCGAGGCGCGCAGATGCGAGCGAGGGGGGAGGGAAGCCCGCCGCGACGTCGCCAGAGGAAATGCGATTTCGGAGGGAGAAGTTTGGGTTCCGCAACGGTTCATGCCAATCAGGGCATCTGGCGCCACGTCGGGAAGCAGAGAGGCGCGCTGTGGGCGCGGGGCGATGGCGGCAGATGCTGCGGGGCGCAGCAAGAGGTCGCGCGCGCCGTGGGTGGGAACAGTGACGGCCATGCATGGTAGATGGCAATATGCTGCGTTTGGGCTAACGCGACAAGGGGTGCGCGATCTTGCCGGGAAAGGCCGCCGCTCGAGAAGGACCCGCCCGTCGCGCAGGGGGGCCACTTGGATGGGCCCAAGACGCAGCTTCTGCGCTGGCGCCGCAGCCACTCTTTGATGTTTTTTTTTTTTCGGATGCAATTCCTGGGAGGTCAATTTCTGTTTTTGCCCTGGTCCGAAATCCGGCTTGATCCGGCTTGGTCCGGCTTAATCCCGCTTAATCCGGCTTCATCCCTCTTAATCCCGCTTAATCGGGCCGAAACCGCGGCCCCTTCCGGCATAACAGCCCCCCGGTGGGGCTTAATCCTTTTTATTCTTTCCGACGACAACCTCCCAGTAGTTGCCTCCTGATGTTTTGAATCAGGACGAGGTCGTGGGAGATGAGGACGAGGATGCGTCGCTGAATTTGCCAAGAGTCATCGTGCCAGATTCCCACGCGCAAGACAGGCATCTCTCCGGCTGGGAGCTGCGGCTGCATCCAATCTTCCCATCGAGTGTGCGCCCGTGGAGGATCTTCAGCGGGTATCTGAAGCATCTGATGCTGGGCGTCAATCGCTCTCAGGTCATGAATGCACCTTAGCTAGCAATGGGGGCGCAAGCCGCGCAAAGACGAACGACGCGCGCAGGCGCGGCGGACACTGGGAGAGGGCGCGGAGCGACTTGGACGTCAGTTTGCGTTGCCATCGCGCGCTTGCGATGGCGAGAACACTACTTGAACGTTCGGTTTTCGGATAGGGAGCCGCGCAGCGGAGGCGACATGGCTGGCACGAAGGGGCTAACGCAGGTGCTCCGAGGGGCGGGCGTGCATTTGTTTTTTGGGGGGCGGAATTAGCGCCGCGAGGCCAGTGTGAATGGTGCCGGCGGAGGATGTTGGTACATGCGCTCACGAAGTGCGGGCTCGAGCGGGGGGAGAGGCCGGCGTTTTGTAAAGAACGCGCGGCGGAGATGAAACACGCGAGCGAGAAATGGTGCGAAGCGCGCAGAGCATGGGCAACGGAAGCGGGGGGTACGGCGCGACGCAGCGCGGTGGCGATACTGGCGACGTGGGGGTTCAAAACACACTCGGATTGCATATCGCGCGAAGCGCAGCCTTGTCAAACAGAGTTTGCGCCGCGGTGGCGCGCAGTGGAACGAGAGAGCTGGCACAGTTGTCGGTTTTCAGATATGAGGTGGAGATTTTGGCAGCACCGAAGAAACACAACGCAGAAGAGAAGAGGTTATGTCAGTAATGCGTGGGGGAGCGTCACACAAAGACGCGACAGGCAAGCAATCGCAATCGGAAACTAGAAGCGGAGACGCAGCCGCCGTGGTGCACGGCGTTCGGGGGACCTGTTCTGGGCACGAAGCATCGAAGTTATGAGCAAGTTGGCGCATCCACGAGACGCGCAGCATAACCGCGCGGTGTGCGCAGCTTGCGCGGACATCGGTTTCACGGCTCGCTGCTGGCAGGCATATCGGCGCAGCGGCACGTGCCAAAACAGTTTCCAGACGGCGCCATGCCTCTGGCGGGCGGTGGTGCCGAGCGCGCCCCGGAAACATACACCATGAACGCAAGTCGTTCGTGTGATGCCCCCTGGGGTGACCAGTCGGGACATCGAATCTGTCATGGCGGCACGCGCGCCGAGTTCCGCTGAAGGAGGAAGTGGGAGGAGAAAGAACAGAAGGAAGGACAAAAACTACGAAAAGGTAAATGCTGATCGGGAGGGAGAGGAGGACGAGGACGAGGGATAGTGAAGCAAAGGAAGAGGGAGAGGAGGAGGAGGAGGAGGAAGAGGAGGAGGGGGAGGAGGGGGAGGAGGAGGAGGAGGACAGAAAAAAAAGGAAGAGGACAAGTCTTTGTTCGGGCCTCAAGACCGTCATCGATTGAATGGCCTTCTGCCCATCCCGCCACCGTGTCTGGTGGTCTTTTCTTCGGTGTGCTTTTCTTGTTTCTGGGAGCCTCTTGGGGTAGTTTTGGGGTTCCTGGGAGCCCCTTGGGGCCTCGTGGGGGTATTTTGGATCCCCCGGATACCTTTTCAAAGCCGAAGGCTCGAAATGTCCGTTCGTGCACTCCGGTCGGGGCCTCCCTCAAGAACCGTGTTGGCGGCCTGCGGGGCCGTCTTGGAGGCCTTTGCGGCCATCTTTGGGACGTCTTGGGCCGTGTGGGGGCCCTTTTGATGGTTTCGTGGGCGGTTTTGGGGCGAACTTGGGAGATTCAGAGGGCGTCGTGGGGCGGCGGGAAGCCGAAAAGGCGAGAACGCCGAAATTTACCAACACCCTTGAGAAACTTATTGCATTTTGCCTCGTCGAGTTCTCCTGGGGGGCCTTAGTGGCGTCTTCTATGCATCTTGGTCCGTCTGGAGGCCATCTTTGGGCGACTCGGGGCCTTCTTGGTCCGTCTCGGGAAGTTCTGGGGCCCGAGTGGCCTCTTCATAGGCCTTGTATCCTTCCATGATGCGTTCGGACCGGGCCTTGGAAGGGGGGGGTCGAATTCTTGGTTGGGGGTCCTTAAGGGGGGGGGATTGGGAGGAGTGTTCCTACACGCCTGGAAACCCATTAGGGGTCGGCGGATTTATCGTTTTTTCTCCCTTCCTCTCTCTCGCACTCTCCCACCTGTGTACCTGCAGGACTACCCGTCGGGTGATGAAGAGGCTGCGATGGTGGTGGTGGTGGTTGTGGTGGTGGTGCAGCTGTTGGTGTGCGATTGTTGCTGGGTCGGGCTCGCGATCTGCCAGTGCATCGATATTGCATACCCCACCTATCGGCCCACACTTCGTGTTCCCCGATTCCACTACCAACGTATCTCGATCTGTTATCCCATTATAAATTCCTGTCATCCGATCTCTCTAGCTCTCGATATGACCATCTCTCTCGATGGATCGATCTCGCCAGCTTCACAATCCATGTGTACGACCACCACGGGACAACCGCGAAGACCAACCACGGGCAACCGCGCGACGGCCACGGGACAGCGCTGGCACAGCCGCGGGACAATCACGGGACAGCCACGGGACACTTGCCCGACGACCGCCGCACAACCGCGGGCATCCACGGGTCAACCAACGGACAACCACGGGACAATCACAGGACAAGCACGAGGCCAACCACAGGACTCCTGCGGGACACCCACGCTGGACAACCACTGGACAAGCACGGGTCGCCCACGGGACAAGCAGGGGACAGCCACGGGACATGGTTCGAAGTATTCGTCAATGTACCGATGCCACTACAAGTATATCGGTCGTCGGTCGCATCTATCGGTCTGACTTCCCATCGATCCCACGAGATCTGTGTTCTATTGAGGGGAGGCGGACAAGCACGATTTAAGTTTCCAGCGAGATTGTCAGTTCCCGACACCACGGGACACCCGCGGGACAACCCTGGTAATTGTCGCCGCGTGGTGGAGTGGCTCATGGTGTTTGAGTTTGGCCTAGCTAGTACAGGAGCTCGCGCAGGTTCGCCTCGCGCGTACGCGTGTCACGCACGACATGAAACGAGACCGACACCCAATGTCATTCAGGTTGGAGGGCGCAGTTCCATGTCATTCTCACCCTATCAGTTTCAATCTCGATGCCCCTTTCTCTCACTCCCTCCCGATCCCTACCTTCTTTCTTGCTGTATCCTTACCTCTCATTCTGTTTCTCTCCAAGCTGCAGCTCACAGCCGGATTCACTTGCTGGCAGAGCTCGACTCGTTGCGACTCGGCAGCCACACACTCAACCGACGATCGATCGGAGGAGGGCAGAGGAGGGGAAGGAGCAACGTTAGGAGGAGAGGGATGGGGTGGGAAAGTCGGGTGGGGCTAGGACTCGGATGAACCGCTCAGAGCGTCCACGGAAGCCCTCCGAGAGTTCTGGAGCGCTCGGGACAAGCCGCAGCGCCGATGCAATCTCCAGAGCCGCGTGCTCTCTGAGATCCCTGGTCCATCCCGGTCCGATTTTGCCCCCGTCCTGGCTTCCTGGGCGGGTGCCGCCAGGCCATCGAGGTGACGGACGCGCTCTGGGCGTCGGCCCTGTCGGACCGCGTGAGCATCGACTGCGGCGGAGTGGCGGACGCCTGGGTGCCCTCTCCCCCCCTTGCCGGGGAGGAGGGGCGGAGGGGTGCGGGGGAGGAGGTGGAGGAGCAGGAGGACCCAGGGCAGGCAGCCCGACAGGGAGGGGGGAGCGGGGTGCGCCTGATTAAAGTCGGGCCAGACGAAAGGGGGGATTGGGAAAGGGGGGGTTACGAAATTTGCTGCACGCAGCTGGTTTCGGCCCCACCGAGGGGCCCATTCCTCGATACACGGCCGCCTCCGGCGCCGGGAGGCGCCGGGAAAATCAGCCACGCGAGCTGATTCTCAAGTCCCCCCCTTTGCTATCCCCCCCTTTCGCCCGACCCGAGAAAGATGATGAGCGCAGCGCGTTGGGGAGGCAGGGCACAGTGCCGTTTTTTATACATGCTCCGCGTGCGGAGCACGTATTAGACTTGCAGGGATTTGGTACTCAAAGCAACGATGAGTTCATGCATAAGTTTATTCATACATTACTCCGGATTCCATAATAAAAGGAAGGGGGTCTGGACCCTCCAAAACAAGCCATATCAGACCTCCCCCGTGGGAGAACCCTCCAAAACATCGTCCCCAGACCCCCCAGGCCCTCCAAGATATCCTGGAAGAGACCCTCCCCGAAATGAGACCCCCCTCCCTTTATTACGAAATCTGGAGTACTCATGCATTAGAAAATCCTAGATGTTTAGAATCCTATGTGTTAGAAGCTGCCCGGTAAGGCGAGGGCGCGGGCGGAGCTCGGAGGGCGCAGGTCGGCGCGGCGCGTCCGCCCTCCGGCGTGCCTCCCTCCGCCCTCCCCCTTCGCGGCCCCTCCTCGAGCCCGGCCCTGTCCTCCCCCTCCTTGTCCTCCTTGTCCTCCTCCTCCTCCTCCTCCTCCTCCTCCTCGAACACTGCAGCCCCTGGGCGCAGGTGCACAGCCGCGGGGCGCATCTGATAATGTAGCTACACTTACGCTTACCCCAAACCACGTGGAATTGTTGATGTTTCTCCGCTGCTGGCTGCTGTGCCGATTGGGGATGTTTGATCTCAGAGTTGGGAGTTACAATCCCTTATCTGCCAATACGCTTGACAGGGTTGAGGACATTGCTCGGCGAATGGCACACTTCGATGCTGTCGCAGTTATCGGAACCAAGCAGAAAGCAACTACAGGCACGGCGGTCAGGAGGCGGATGATCAACGCTGGCGAGAAGAAGAACATCCAGAGGTTATGCATTGACGCTGGCTACGTGACGTCGCCCTACGTGAACAACGCGTGCGGGTGCAGCATCACCTGGGGCAGGAAGGTCAAGGCTGAGCACATCGTTCAAGTTACACCTGCGCCTGCATCTATTCGAGGACGAGGATTGCTCATTCGTGCGAAGAATGGTATTCTGGATGTGACTGTGGTTGCTGCCTACTTCCCGCCGCGGCCGAGAGAGCTTGCGGCACAGGATTGCTATGGTACCACGTGTGATCGCTTGGCGGAGTGGATTGCAACATGTCTTGCCTCACTGCCGTCGCGGACGACGCCAATTTTTTGCTGTGACCTCAATGATGGATTAGGCCGAATCAGAAACGACAGTGGCAAATGGGTATATGATGATTTGAGTGTGGTGCCGAGTGGGACGGCTACGCAGGCTCATTATGCAGGTGCCGTGATGGGTCCCATCCTGGCCGCACATGATCTACAGGCTGCCAACACCTTTCGGGGGTATGCGCCCACCTTCTACTCGAGCAGGGGTCACGCGTCGCGCATCGACTACGTCTGCTTTCCCCGACCCCTGGTGCACGCGATGAAGGCTGCGGGACCTCTGCGCGGACTCAGTCGGGATCTGCAAATCATTCCTAAGGCTAAGCCGTGTGATCACTTAGTGGTGCATGCCCTGGTCCCATCTGAGCTGGCGCCTGCTGGCTCTGAGGAGGCACAAGCGAAGAAGCCGTTCTGGAACTTTGACCTGATCATGCGATGTGTGCGGGGTGGTACGCGCCGTCTTGAATTGCTAGAGGCCTTAGAGCGACGACTTCAAGCTGAAGGAGGCTCTCTGGAAGCTGATTTGAACTCGGTGACGGCTGACTCTTTGTTTGCTCGTATGAACATGATTATGATCGAAGTTGGACAGCAGATGTTCACGGAGGCGGCGTTCGTGAGTGACGCTCGTCAGAGTGTTCGTCAGGAGCGAGAGGAGCTTCTTGCTGAGCGACTTCGGCTTCGACGACGGCTTGAGGGGGCTACTTCGGAGGAGGAGGGGGATATTGCTGCACGATTACGGGATCTGTCCAAGCGTAATCGAACACATCGTCGTCGTGAGCGGCTCCTGGTGCAGCAAGATCTGGTTGCAGAACTTCAGGAGCACTGGCGGGCTCGGCGCCTGGCGGAGGCCTCGAGGATAGCTAGACGTCTGGCAGGGTCTCGGTGGGGCCCCAAGAAGCGAGATTATCAAGCGGTGCGAGGAGTGGTGGAGGATTCAGCCAGTTTAGTGGCCCAGTTTTCGAAGAAAGGCAGTGAAGGAGGGATGGGGAGTCGGGCGGTCGAGCCCTGGGATACTTGGAAGGAGGAGGTTCTGCGAGGAGTTCCCCGTGGGCAGCTTTTTTTTCCGAAGCCGAAGTTTCTCAGGCCGAGCGGGATTACAGGTTCCTGAAGGTTGCGATCAATAAAGCAGGTAAGCGTCGTGCGGTTCCTGAGTGGTGCCCCCCCTTGGAGCTCTAGTGGATGCTTCTACATCCTGGGGAGGCCTGGTCTCACAGAGGGGAAGGTCTCGGGATGTCACAATCTGTTCCTGATATGAGTTTTGGGCAAGAGCTGTTATTGCGTGCGCTGTCTCTTGTGCGACATTGTCATTGTGCGCCGCTGAGGTGGCATGTCAGTCGCGCGGTGCCGCTTCCGCGACCCGACGGCAAGTCTAGGTGGATACATTTGCTCGATCCGTTGGGGAAGGCGTGGGTGGCTGGGCTCATGAGGCAAAAAGGGCCCCTTTCAGGCTTCTGTCCAGGATCATGGGTTCTTGCAGCATCGGAGGCGGGAGGGGGCTCTCATCGTGCAAAATACGACGGGCTGGTGGTTGGAGCAGCGCGGTCTCTCCTACATCACGAATGCCCGTGACCTCACGAATGCGTTTGCCTCCAGCGATAGGCAGCGCATGCGAGTCGCAGCGTCTGGTCTATTTCGTGAACAGGATAGGGGATATGGTGTGCAGCGCATGGATTGTGATATGGCGATTCTCAAGGGGAGCGACGGGGACGTTATTTTGAAGCCGGGCTGCGGGGGGCTGATGGGAGATAGGTTTGCCGTGAACACGTTCGTGCGGGCGTTTCTGTCGCCAGTGTGTCAGTGGAGCGATTTTCAGCATCAATGGGATCCGCTCTCTGCTCTTATGCGTGCACGCTGTCCTCTCACTAGCCAGGTGGTGGATGTCTCACTAACTAAGTATGCCGACGATTTGACTAAGAAGCTTGCTGGCCATACGACGATGATTCTAGTCAACAAGAGTGTGAGATCCAACCAGGAGCTGGATTTTGCCCTTGAGCCGCGCGGTTTTAAGCAGAATATTACGAAGCAGGATGCTCTGTTGTCTCTACGTGGTCCTGGAGCTGCCGCTGATCTTCGGGAGATTCGGGATGGTCTCATTACGTTTCCTGGTGCTGCTTCGTTGGAAATCAAGAGTCTTGGGTTTATTATGGCTTCGAGGGCGTCTAACTTTGGGCCTGCATTGAAGTATCGGGGAAAAACTTTGCAACGAGCCTGGTACTCTCTTGGAGGATTCTGGAGTGTTCCTGGAATTCCCCATAGGCTCCGCCGCTGTATATTTATTTCACAGATATATAATACTGCACTTTCTGGTCTTGAAGGTTTCACGCCGAGTCCGCAGGATTTATCTAAGCTGAACAATATGGTGGCTGGGCATGCTCGAAGGGCGATGGGGGGGAGGGCATGTGACAGGGAGGCTCCAGGTCACCCTAAGTCGATGACTTCTGCTGCTGTGCTCTGCTGGTGGCGTCTTGCCCCGTTGGAGACGGAGCTCACAATTCGTCGCCTGCGCTATTGGCAGTCTCTGTCACGTGCACCGCTGGCTAACCAACAGGTCCTCACTGCGCTGTTTGGGCATTTAGAAGTTTCACAACCAGTGGTGACGCCCGAGAAGCGGCTTTCGAGATGGGCCTCACCGTGGGCTTGTCAGTTGCTTGCAGATGTTCGAGCCCTCGCCGACCTTGATGAGTGTGCGTCTTTCATTGAACGACTTGAAGATAGAGTCTTCCTTGCCTTCTCGGACCCTGAGTTTAGCGAAGAGTTCTGCAGGATCGATGTTCGTCAACTTCGCTCGCGGGCACTCGGGGTCCACGTTCCACCAGTCGAGTTTCTAGACGCGGATGAGATTCCAGGGATGCTTCAAGATGATGTTTGTGAAGGTGCATATCGGTGTTCGCTTTTGGGTCCTACTGGGGAGGTCTGTGGGCGTATACTACGAGATCGACGCGCGGTACACACGCACATAGTAGCACATCACGGGTTTCAAGAGCTTGCACACGTAATGTCTGTGTCCAATCAGTGTTGTGTATGTGGTCTGGTCTTTGCACATCGCGAAAGCTGTCGTCGTCATTTTTCGCAGAGTCTTAGACGAGGAGAGTGTGCTGCCGATGCTACGCTTAATATTTGAAATTCGTGCGCCGTCATCTCTAGCCTGTCCACTGCGTCCGTATGTAGCTGGACTGTTCGAGCATTTGCAGAAGCACCTTTGCGCACATCTTGAGAGCGTTCCCAAAGTTCCTTCGCGCTGTGGACGAGAAGCCGGCCTGGATGTTGGCTGGCGAGGAATCGAGGCACAAGCAGAGGCGTGTTGGAGACGCGGCCGAGGCGCTAGTGGACCAAGCTTCACAGTCAGCATAAGGCGGCGGCAAGCCAGCGATTCTCAGGCAATTAATCGTCATTTTGACCAAGCTCGCGTTGAGCAATGCAGCGGAGCTGCGCGAGGTGCGCGGGGTAGTCTTCCAGACGTGGCTGATCCAGGTGACGAACCCTGCAGCTCGCGCGGCCAAGGCCG